GGGGGTACAGTGTACAGAGTAACCCCTAATCCTTCAAGCCTTTGAATTACTCTATCATCCAGTAGTGATGATGATAAATTCAAGTGGGAAAATGACAGAATGGCGATACGCATCCAAGAAGTGCGGTCGAAAAAATAAAGCATAGTTATAATCAGATGCTATTATGTCACTGTAAAAGACAGCAAGGGTTACCGAAAAGAATGCTGAGGGAATTGAGAAACGCCTAGCTCCTCAGTGACTAAGTGAGCAACGTGTTGTCGATCAATAATAAAACAGCATAACAGAGTTTGAGCTGGATGAAATCAGAGAGCGCTTTGTAGTGTCACCAACTATGAAGATCAACTAACTCAATATGTTAGCAAAATAATGAACAGGATATCTTGTGATCAGAAATCGAAATGGCTGATGTGGCAAAAATTATCCAGGTGAATGATAAAATATCGCTAAAGCATGAGAGATTTCAGGAGTTCGAAGAGCTTAGGATGCGCGTCCCTTCTGCAGGAGGCAAGAAAGAACCGTTTGAATATATCAGTCGAGCAAACAGTTTCCTGAAAACAACGCCAACAGGCTATTTGAAATCGATCAGTGGTATGATATACAGCAAATGTTGTATGTTGTATGACTTATAGGTTAGGTTAGGATAACTTATTGCCTATAGGTTAATTGCTCCTGTAATAATCTCAAGTAATGTCAGAATTTACCTCTTGGTCGTTCCACGTAGTCACTGTTTTCACCGTCAATTGACTTTTGGCTCACGAGGTTTGGAGTCGACTTTATGCCTAGAAAGGAGAACACTGAAAAATGATGATAATATCAACTGACAAATAATTTATGCATTATGATTAACAAAACCTATATAATGTTTCATTATTATTGAAGTTTCATGTATATCATTATTTCACCGGTTTTACGTATATCGTTTGACGCAAATAATAGTTGGGTATTGTCGTCGGTTTGTTGTGATTCAAAGTACAAACTTTCAGTAAATCTCTTACCTACTGCCGCAATGATGCAGCTATCCTTGAACCACAAAAACAATCAGCAGTTTTTCTAGATGCCAATATCTTTGCACATCGAAGTGTTTGGTAAGATAGAGGCATGTTTTCAACTGACATGAATCCTTTGTCGACTACTCTCTCAGATTTCTCAGCACAGAAAGTGCGATCCATAAAGTGGAATGGATTTCAGTGATATGCTCCAGTCAAGTCATGATGAATCGGAAGAGGTTAAAGATGACAGTGTATATGCTTAGGCTAAATTAATAGGCATACGATCAAGTTGGCAGTGGTGAGTTGAAGCTCATAGAGTGAAATGGTCAGAATGGATAATCTTTAGAAGTGAACTTTGGGAATAACTTTAAACCACGTTAATTCACTTACCGGATTTATCCGGCGTAAGCGCACTGATCCTATGCTTTTATAAGGGTAGGGGGACCATATACGAAGGTCATGGCTCCATGGTGGTTGAGAACTTGCGCAACACCGGATACAAAACCGCATCCCTAAGCTGGACGAAGTGAACCTGATAGATTCATTTCTTTGCCGACGGTATTGTAACGCCATCGTTTGTGGCAGTTACGGCAGAATATCGGATTGTACTTTGTTTACGAAATACAAAACGTAAATTCATGACTGATTGAGGAAGAAGGGCATTAGAAACAATTTCAATGATAAGAATACAAGTAAGAGAAAATAAAAAGCAGTCATTAACATTTTACTTTGATTCAAATGATTTGAAGCTCCCGCAATGTGGTGTGAATAGCATACCCTTTGCGATGATCTTGCAGATCAATGAAATCTCTTCAGGCTCTACGGTGAGAAGTGAAGCTGCAGGAATAATCGTTATATACTTCCAAGAAGCTCTTATGTTTGAGCAAAATCACAAAAGCGGTTGAATAGCCAAAGAACGAAGGCAACGACATAAAATTAAATTTAGAACTCTGATTGTGATAAAAGTCTTAGCCGGAAAACTTTGAAATTTTTTTGCTTCGTTCTAGAAGCTGTACTGGTAAGAAGGTGGTTCTTACCAATTGGATTCAACTGTCAATCACAATTACATCGATTTGCACGGCATCACCTTTGGAACACTGAAGCACTCAGTATTCCACAAGTAGTAGCATATACAGTGCAGTGGCAGATCTCATACCGTTTTGCTGACTACCGGAAATGACGTTCTTGAGATAAAGGACCTTCGTTGGTTTACAGCAATATCATAAGGTAAGTGTTAACAAGGTGAATATGTAAATCAGAATAATTCTTCTATATCATGAGGCAAAACTACCTCATGCTGTGCTTTCATAAGCAATGAATTTCACCTGTTTAAATGGCCACCAAATACTAATTTTGGGAGCAGCAACTGGCACTGCAGTGAAAATATTCTCGATACTATAACACAATAACGTATTAAATTCGTACCGCATAGAAGGCTGTTCAGAATGTAATCCACCTGTGTTCTCGGCCTTCTTTAATATATGTATCCTTATTACATCGCAAAGTATGTGGCGTATGAATTTTGACCCGAAAATGGCTCAGTGAAATCAATCAACCAAGAATCTCTGTCTTTTCACTGAAACCTAAGAAACTTAACCAATGCACCTGAACATCAAAGACATGCAGGATGATGATCATTTTGAGGATAAAATGTTGTATATTACAAAACGATTTTCGTGCTATTAAAACAGCCAAACAGGTTATAATCAGTGATACGGTTGATCTTACCAGAGGGCAAGTCATTGGCAGGACTTCCTCTGGAATTTGCGCCCGTGGAGTTCGTGTATGAAGAGGTAGTTGAACTTGACACCAAAGAGTTTTTCTTTTTCAGCAGTATATGTTCTCTCTAAAATTCAAATATGTACAGATGTCAGACAGAATGAGTACAAATAAGAAGCATTAGCAAGTGCAGTAATCCCTAGGGTTCGTTGACCAGTTGCTCACATCGAGGTACCTATGCTTCCAGTAGTAATAGAAAAACCGTATAAAACCTGGAGTCCCGTCTGTATTTGTCCTATAGAAGAAACACTGAACATTCCACCTGACGTTTACTGGAGACTAAGGATCGTTGACGCTGAACTGAAGGTAAGCTTCACCTAACTTTAAACGCACGAAATTGTCTAAATGAGAGACTGCGCACAGTCCATAATTTTGCCAACCCTCAAAATGCTGAGTCTTCTACTGAAAATAATTTCAGTCTGCCTCTTAATAATATGTTATAACACAACTCTGGTAATTTCTATACAACTAAAGTTAATCGTAAACCTGCTGACACAGATGAACATCAAAGCTTAACTGAACGCAATCCTAAATAATAATAGATCGGTAGTTCCAGGTTTAGTAGACAGAGTTTTGAAATTTTGCAATAACGAATAATGATAACAGACAGTGATAGTCAATAGTGATAACTGAAATTATCCCGTTAAATTAATTAATAACATTGCAAAGGGTAGAATACTGTTCTTTAAATTGATTTATAACGGTAAAGTCTTCCAAGGAAATGTTTCAGATTATGAGCCATACTGAATTGTCCCTTGTCATGAAAACATTAGTGAAAATTTACGAAGGTTGATTAACTCTGAATATAATATTAACGTTATACACATAAAAGCCTTAACAAACTTATTGCGGTATTAAGTAATTGTGACAATAGTAACTCTGCAGGTCGGCTGGGCTCACGAATAGCAATGTAACTGCGAGAAACAGGGAAATTGTCAGTCAGATGACAAAGACCCATGCTGAAGACTACAAATATTCGCGGAAGAGAGTGACTGATACGTTATAGCGAGGAAACCGAGATGAAAATAAAGTCTCGCTTCTAGCAAAGTCAAAAAACAATTCACAAACACCTCCGGAGTCGGGCAGCATGCGACACAGGAAGGAAACGGTGAGAGGTATCAACCTCATCAAAGAAAGATACTGGCTGAACAGGCGCGTCAAAGAGTCAATAATCATCCAACGCAACGTCATCCATGAGAAGGGATTTCCGAAGCTCACTCGTCTCTCTGCATTGAGGAATATGGTGAGGCACTGGTTGAAACATCTGTTCAGGTCAGTCGTCGGATTTTCCAACTTGTCTACGTCGGGTATAAATCAAAAGTGTTCGGTTCCCTTTCATTCTATGAACATCATCGCTACGACTTCAAATAAATTTCATGGAAAAAAATGTCCCATATGCTTGATCCATCTTCAGGGGACTTTATATAAAAACCAACGCAAAAGCAACATCAAGAATGTAGTCGTGGAGTGAGCTTAAGTTGCATATGTTGATACCGTAGTTTAAGCCCACAAATTTAGATGCAATAAACCGTTGATATTCCCCACCAAATTAGAAGCTTAAATACGTGTTACTTTGGAAAAGAAGAGGGCTGCGTACCGTATGAATCATCAGCTACGCAAAACCTTCTACACCGGTATTAATAACAGGCGAGTAAAACCCTGTTTGAGGGAGTACATCGCGTTTTGGCCAGAAAACGAGAAGATCACTGTGTAATGATAAAACGTACTATGAAAACGCTGAACACCATCTACAACACATAAATCGTAATTTGAGAGTGAGACGATTTATTAATATATAAATCTTCATCGATTACATATGCAGAATATGTTACTAAAGTGCCGAAATTTCTCATTCAATCAGACTTCACTGCTAAGGAAATCTCCCGTTAAGTGCATTTCAATTTCCAAGCGAGAGGCAGTAAAAATAACGTCTCCACTGAAGAATTGGCTTACGCTGCCCAGAAATTCCGACGAAGAGTTGGAGGGGGTGGTTTCGGCGGTGCGGTACTGGCCAAAAGACGAAATCGGTTGGAAGAACTGCGATGTGCTCTGTCTTCGTTGCTGAGCGATCCGATTGGCAGTCACGAGCGCATGGTACACAGGATCAATGGTAGTGTCGCTGCCCTCTTGAGGTGATTCAGCCGTTTGTCTAGTCTCGGTTGAAGACTGCTGTTTCTTCTAAACAAAAGGCACGTAGCGTAATCATAAACAGAACATCTGTCAGGAGGATTTGTCGACTCTGAACGAGAACTAGAGTCGACCTTGACCATGCTTGTGTGAGGTTAAGCCAATGATCACTGAGGGAAGCATGAAACTGAAAGGATGCGGACCTCAAGGCGATGAAAGAAGCAGTGGTAAGGAAGAAAATCAACTAAGCAAGATTAAAGATCAATGAGGAAGTGTGAATAGAAAAGAGAATGAATATGTGAGCAATGACAAAAGTAAATAATTAGAACTCACGCAAAACCGCGATGAGGAATTAGAGCAAGAAAGAACAAACAGAATTTTTTCATCGTCGGATTCAAGACCTGAATAAGGATCCTGATTGCTGGACTTCCTCCAAACAGACGAAATGTTTTGGGGACTATGCAGTCATTTTTTCTTCTGTCGCCGGGATTGAATACGACTTAATTAACGAATCATTACCACGATATAGCTTGCTTTAAGATATTTTCCTTATAAGTTGGGACCGCAATAAACTGTAGAATGATCAGCTTAAGAGACAATGGAAAACCGAGGTTTTAAGCTGATGTACATGCCTTTGTCGCAGATCTGCAAAGAGAAAAATATTAAAGATGCAAGCCAGGTCGAAGGATATGAAGTTTTCTTCCGTCGCAACCGGAAATGAAATCAGTTCTCCGTGCCTTTTTGACCTTCAGTGGAAGATGGCAAATATTCGGTTAAGATGAGTAGGAGGTTCAGAAAAAGCTTGATGAGTGATGTAAGAAAATGGAAGAAAAAATTTATGCTGCATCTGAATAGCTAAAGTATAAGAAATCGGGGGAAATAACGTTATCCAAATCTGCATATTGATATCGTCTGGGCAGATGACGAGTTTCATCAGGTCACCTTTGTAGCACTGGTCTCAACGACGGAGGTGCTTTATCCCGAGTGTTCGCGTTCGAAGCATAACAACGAATTCACCCTGCTTGTTTTTATTAAGGTGAAATTTAGATTTAGATTATATATTGCCCGCATAGATACACATAAACCATTGGCAAAGAAGCAAAGCTTTACCATTTCCGACATGTCGCTCTGGCAGGGGCTGCTGGTTTTTGTCATTCGGGTTGACGGATCTGAAACAACTTTGCTCGTAAGGGTATGGCAAGCAATAAATCAAACCGAATAACAATCTACAAGATCTTTCACCTCATGCCAAAGAATAAGTTTTTTATTGTCATCTGAAACGAAAGTTCGATGAGTGAACGCATTTTCAAATCTAGAAAAGCTACATCGCTCCTCACTTCTGAAATCTTCGTAAACGGCAGAAGCAAGTACGATTAAGTTTACTGTGTAGTATTGGAGTGTGTTCTTCATGTGTATGAAAAGCTTCAGTTTATAGGGCATAAAAAATGCAACGTTCTACGCATTGCATCTGCTTCCCTCAAAGAGGAACTCGTTTATTGGAATAAGGGTGAAATCGGTGATTTGTTCAGTGGGTAGGAACATGCCACACGCCAATTGCCCGAAACAATGCAGCGCAAATTAAATCCAATTCAGTTTCATTATTGTCAAATTTTATTTTATTTAATTTTTTAGTCTATTGAATTATAAAAT